TCATTTGAATATTTACAAAGGGAAGGACACTGAAAAATATGCAGCACAGACAGATATTATTTTAAGAGCTCTTCTCAGGTGTTATCTGCCCATTTTAAAAAAATCTCATTCTGAGAGGCTGAGGGAAGAAAATGGAAAGGAGGGACTCTCATGTCATTTGAATGGGAAGAAGCAAGAAGTCGACACAATAGGTGTAGGAAACAAACATTTCCAAGTCCCAAAAGTAGCTTTTTTTCAGAAGGCAAAAAAGCAGCAGGCTGGGGGGATTCTGGGAGATGAAGTCCACCCATCTGAACTCCATTTGCTGAGGTTGAGAAACACTGACCTGGCACTTCCTAGCATATCAAGGTTACAAAGTAAGAGGTAGCACCAGGGGTGGGATTCAGCCAATTTGGACCAGTTCGGGCGAAACGGATGTTAATTTTAATCTGGTTCGCTGAACTGGTAGTTCTAAGGACTGGCTGACCCTGTCCCTCCCAGGAGTCTCCATGCGGCCCATTTTGGATGCCAGGTAAGTGCAGCGCCCACGCGGAGGCTCTGGGAGGGCGAAAAATGGGCCTCCCGGAAGTTCTGGAAGTCTGGAAACGGGCTTGTTTCTGGCCTTCGGAGGGCCTCCAGAGCCTGGGGAGGCTATTTTCGCCCTCCTGGAGGCTCGAGAAAAGCCTCCGGAGCCTGGGGAGGGCAAAATTGCACCCCGCCCACAGTGGTGCAGGAGGCTGAGTAGGCCACGCCCACCATGGCCACAGCCACCCAGCAACCGGGCAGCGAACCAGTTGCTAAAATTTTTGAATCCCACTCCTGGGTAGCACAAAGCTTCCGATCGACATCCAAGCCTACATTTTTCTTGACACCAACCCTTTCTTCTCAAATCAAGCCATTTTAATTCTATTTCCTTCTTCCTGCTCGGAAACGAGAATTATCTCTTACCAAGGACATTTCCCCTGTGGTGACTTTAAGATTCCAGTAGCGTTCAGATGTCAAATTTAACTTGCACGTCCTTAAGCCAGAACAAAGCAAGCAGTGTGATTCTGCCAGGAATCTGAAATCAGGATCCGGGGAGTGGAGTGGGGGAACTGAGTGCTTTTTAACTCAATGTACAGGATTCGGTCCAAACCCCTGGTTTGAGCACTCTGCTGAAGACAGAGATGCAATCACAGATTACTTTAATTTTCATCTCCGCGCTATTCAATTTATTGATGATTAAGTGAGCATTCATGCTTGCAAGGCAGACAGGTTTGAAATCTTAAAAAACAGCACTTTCAAGTTAAATGTAAGTGAATTAGATTGTCGTTTCTTGCCTGATGCAAATGAACCTCTGTCCTCATTCTTTAAAGCAGCTAGCCAAGTTTATCTATTCTCTTTAATAATGCAATTTAATTTACCAAAGGTTCCCATTAAAAATTTATCTGACTGCAGCAGTTGGAGTCACCTAGACATATTGTTATAGTTAAAAATTAGCTTTAGTGAACATTGCAAATTTCCTGCTGTGAAGCTGAGCCTCGCTTCGAACAGAAAAAGCTCTCTGGGCCATCAACTGATATTACATTTAAAACAAAGGAGTCTAGGCTCACTGAAAGAGAGTGCGATTATTAAAAAGGCATCACAACTAGGACTGTGGAGCTATGATGAATTAATTGCACCGCAGATGAAAAGTAGGCTGTGGAAAGAGTTCTCCAATGCATCAGGAGTTCCCTGCATTTAAGTATAACATGTGCTATAAAGAAAATTTAGAAATGTGTTATTATATATGTTGATAGAGGCAAGAATCCTCCGTGTGTAAAAAGACACATCAACTCCCACAAGGGAAGAATGGATGGGAAAAGTGATGGAGTTGGTAAAGATGGCTAAGCTAATTGTTTTAATTAAAAGAGAAGAACTTATCCAATTTTGTTCCACTTGGAAGCTGTTCCTGGGTTTTATGTTTGCAAGAGAAAAACTTTGATCTTGGATAACTAGATGAACTTCATTGCTGTAGAAATGGAAAGAAGAAAGTTGAGATTTTCAGCTGTATTTTGTATTTTACTGCACCGAAAAGAGTCGGAAATAATGCTTTCTTTTTCTTTCTCCTTTTCCCCTTTTCTCTCTAACCTTTATTTCTATTCGTATTTTATGCGAATAGAAAAACCCTCCCTTTTTATGACTCAGTTCGGGGTAGAGTAGAGGCGATTGAATGGAGCTGAGCATTTACTGGCCGGATACCCTTCCTGACTCCTATGTAAAGTTCGCAGCAGATTTTTTCTTTTCTTTTTGCACCCTGAGAGAGAAACATCTGCTGCTACCTAGGATTGAACTCTTAACCTTCTGAGTGGGAGGCGAGCATCTTCACCACTAGGCCACCGCACCACTCATATTTGATACTACAATAAACTCTAATAAAATTAAAGTAAAAATACATGGGAGAACAGATTAGATGGGAATGCAAGTAAACTCACTGCCAAGCTCCCATTTGTCAACAGGTTGTCATTTTCCAGTGACTAAGAAACAGATCAAGTTTCGCAGGTAAAAACAAATTCTGAAATGGTTGAAGCATCAGGCATGATAACAAATTCTAGACCAGTGTTTTTGAATCTCAACAGCTTTAAGATTCATGGACTTCAACTCCCAGAATCCCCCAGTCCACACATCTTAAAATACCAGTAAAGGAGAATATTTGTAGCTCAGGGTGGAAATGAGGGTTCTTTGGTGCTCTCTTGATAGTTTCCTTTTTTTTTCTTAATTTAAAAAGTTTTTTTTTTATTAAATATACAGTTAAAAACATTGGACATAGTGAGATTTCTCTGGTTCCAACATTTCCATCAAATTTTTCCTTACAACAACTACAATTCATACTCAATATATACCTTTGTACAATCTATCAAAATTCAGCTACATAAATCTCTTCGTCTGTGAAAATTACATCCAATACCAATTCCTACCTATCACATAGTACCAACATAATAATTCTCCAACTCTCAATTTATCCATATTTCTCTATCCCGACATTTCTCCTCCTCTCCAACCATTGAAACATTTTATTCCAGATTTCATGATATTCCCTTTCACCCTTGTCTTTGAGTTCCAGAGTCAGCCTGTCCATTTTTGCGCAAGTCTGAATCTTATTTATTATCTCTTTTTCAGGGGGAGGGGGTTCTCTTTACTTTTCCAATTTTGTGCAAAGACCAGTCTCACTGCCATTAATATATGCAACATTAGGTATATTGTTTCTTTATTATATTTATCCTTTGTGATGCCCAATAGAAAGATCTCTTGACAGTTTCCTTGTAGATGTTTCATGACCCAACTAGGTAACATGGGGGGGGGGAGAAATTGATCCCCTCAGAATGGGCTCACAATTTAGGTGTCCTCCTAGACTCACAGCTAAGATTAGAGCAACATCTGACAGCTGTGGCTAGGGGGACCTTTGCACAGGTTCACCTGGTGCACCAATTGCGACTCTACTTGGATCGGGAGGCTCTCCTCAGAGTCACGCATGCCCTTATCAACTCATGGTTAGATTATTGCAACACGGTCTACATGGGGCTACCCTTGAAAAGTGTTCGGAGACTACAGTTGATCTAAAATGCAGCTGCGTGAGCTATTGTGGGTGCACCTGGATACACCCACATTACACCAATTCTCTGCGAACTGCACTGGCTCCCTATTGGTCTCTGGGCACAATTCAAGGTGTTGATTATTACCTTTAAAGCCCTATGTGGCTCAGGGCCAGGTTATCTTCGAGACTGCCTTCTACTACATAGCTCCCAGCAACCGGTAAGATCCCACAGTTTACATGTACTCGGAACAGCTTACATCCTCTGACGATACCTTAACAGTTCCTAGGTCCTTGGTTAGGACTCGAGCTGCTGAGCTATTAACCAGCCTCAAAGGCTGTGAATCTCACTAAAGCTTAACCAATAATAACAACAAAAACAAAAACAACAACAACAACAATAACAACAACATCATCAGTGCTTTGGGTCATGAAACTTCTGCAAGAAAACAACCAAGCTCAGAGAGCACCAAAAAACCCACTGCTTAACGTTGCTGAGAAATACTGGTCTAAACAGTCAATAATGTTCTAAGACCCTATTCCCTATGAAGGAGACAGGTTGGTAAAAATGCATTCTTGTGCAGAAGAACAAAATACTACCAAAACAAATTGGAACAGAAGCGTCCAACTTTTAAACTGTAAGGAGCTCCATTTTTCTCGTGGATAATTTCTTTCGGATGTTCGCCCACTGTGGAGGTGTGATAAAAGCAAGTGGGGTTGGATTTCCGATGACTGAAACGATCACTTGCAGAGAGATTTTAAGAGTATGCCTGTCACAACTAAATCAAGAAGCCATATAAGATTAAGCTAAGAGCCAAACACTGCTCTAAAGCTACAAATGGGCAATGCAAAATTAGGAATATAATGAAGACCAAGCCAGTCTTCCAACATTGATGGTTGATTATTCTAGTAAAGAAGTATTCTAGCAAGAAAGTAAATAGCAGGAAAACAGAAACCACACACCTTTCCCAAATGCAGTTAAGCACAGATTATTATAATATTAAGATAAGATTTTCAGTATTTACTCACTTCGTCAATATATCTATATGGACATAAAAGAAATATATCCATTCCTTCCACAATTATGCTTGCTATAGAATAAACCGGCCTCTGAACTCTTTATGGACTAGAAACATCTAAAAGAATGTCTTAAGTTTCCTAAAAACTTTGCTTTTTCCACCAACTGTCAAATAATGTAACACAATAATGTTCACTTAGTTATCGAAAGAAAGTAAAAAGTGCCAAAGAACTGTGACCATTGACCTATTTTTAAAGGATTAAAAGAGCAAAGATGGAGAGCCAGAAAGAAAGATCCATACATTCTGGTAAAATAATTTCACAAATCAACTAAAGAACCACTCGCTCCAAATTTTGAAGGCCAACAATGAATATTCCATAACTTACAGGCAATACTGTTTACACAATTGGGGAAGGGCAATATTTCCAGCCAAGTCAAAGCAGAAAATCCTACCTCTATGTTGTTTGTCATCAGCATTGTCAAAGCCTGCAAATGATAAGAAAGAAAAACATCATATTAGCATCGATCGGACAAATGACTAATTCCATTAATCACCTTTTTTAATGTAACAAACATCACTTGCAGGTTAAGGCTAGCAGATAATTCACAGCAATAGGAAAGCCAAGGCAGAAACATATCTATTTGGAGATTCTCAATTATCCAGGTCATAGTTGTCCCAAAGATGTTTTTCCAAAAGGCAACTCAATTTTCTTGGTTTTCTTTTTTCCCCTGTGAAAACATGTTGCTTCTTATCCAAGAAGCTTATTCAGTTCTGTACTGTTCTTCAGAACTGAAGAAGCTTCTTGAATGACAAGCAAAATGTTTTCAAAGAAAACACCAAGGAAAACACATCATGGTGACCAAAACTGAATGCAATATTCCAAGTGTGGCCTTATCAAGGCATGATAAAGTGATAAAGTGATAAACACTTCATGTGATCTTGATTCTATCCCTTTGTTTATGCAGCCTAGAACTGTGTTGGCTTGTTTGGCAGCTGCTGCACATGGCTGGCTCATATCTACATAGTTGTCCACTAGGACTCCAAGATCCCTTTGATCTTGGTTCTTTGATTTTGACTTGTTGTGTGATGTGAACCTCCACACTCTGGCTTGGGGGGGAAAAAACCCACACACAATTTATGGGTTTGGTGTGAACTCTAAATACTGTATGTGCACCAGTGCTAACAATGTTCATGAAAAACAGAACTTGGTACAATTTTCAAAAGCAGTCATGAATGTAATCTCTCGGTGAATAGAATGGAATGGAATGGAATGGAATGGAATGGAATGGAATAGAATAGAATAGAATAGAATAGAATAGAATAGAATAGAATAGAATAGAATTCTTTATTGGCCAAGTGTGATTGGACACACAAGGAATTTGTCTCTGGTGCATACACTTTCAGTGCACATAAGGAGAATAAAATACATTCATCAAGAATAAAAAGATACAACACTTAGTGATAGTCATAGGGAAACAGTCAATATAAATCGTAAGGATACCAGCAACAAAGTTACAGTCATACAGTCATAAGTGGGAGGAGATGGGTGATAGGAACAATGAGAAGATTAATAGTAATTCAGACTTAGTGAATAGTTTGACAGTGTTGAGGGAATTATTTGTTTAGAAGAGTGATGGTGTTCAGGAAAAAACTGTCCTTGTGTCTAGTTGTTCTGATGTGCAGTGCTCTATAGCGTCGTTTTGAGGGTAGGAGTTGAAACAGTTTATGTCCAAGATGCGAGGGGTCTGTAGATATTTTCACAGCCCTCTTTTTGACTCGTGCAGTATACAGGTCCTCAATCAGTGGTGAAATGCTCCCGGTTCAGACTGGATCACCCGATCCGGTAGCGATGGAGGTGGGTAGTTTGGAGAACCAGTAGCAAAAATCCCTGCCCTCCCTCCATGCCCAGCTGAGCCACACAATCATCAGAGGCTTTTTTTTTTAATTTTTAAAAGCATTTTTTCTACAACCTCTTCTGCCGAAAAAATGCTTTTAAAAGTAAAAAAAAAAAAAGTCTCTGATGATCGTGCGGCTCAGCTGGGATCGTCAAAGGCTTTTATAAGCATTTTTTCTACAACCTCTTCAGAGGTTGTAGAAAAAATGCTTTTAAAAGCCTCTGACGATCCCAGCTGAGTTGCCTGATTGGCAGAGGCTTTTTTTCTTTTAAAAGCCTCTGCCGATCAGGCAACTCAGCTGGGATTGTCAGAGCCTTTTGAAAGCATTTTTTTACAACCTCTTCGCCAAAGAGATTGTAGAAAAAATGGTTTTAAAAGTTTTTTTAAAAATTGGCCACGCCCACCCAGTCACATTACCCCCCCACCAAGCCACGCCCACAGAACCGGTAGTAACAAATTTTAGATTTCACCACTGTCCTCAATGGAAGGCAGGTTGGTAGCAATTATTTTTTCTGCAGTTCTTTTTTTTTTTTTGTAGAAACTTTATTAAGATTTTTTACAAACAGAAAAAAAGAAAAACATACAAACAAAAACAAAAAAAAACATAAATGTAATGACATTTTCAGTTAATATCAGATGTGCAGTGTTTTAACTATTTACATACTTGGTGATATTTCAAATCACTTTTAACCATTATTTAACACACCTTTAAGTCTTTCTTTCATTTTATCATGCATCCACTTGTACCACCTTTCCCACACAATATAGTAAACTGACTTCTCGTCATCATTTAATTCATGAGTTAATTTAGTCATCTCTGCGCACTCCAATGTTTTCCTAATTGTGAGCTCTTCTGGTGGTTGAGTTTTCTCTTTCCAGTACTGTGCGTATGCCAATCTGGCGGCTGTAATCATGTGAATCATTAAATGTATCTTTTCCTTTCCATATGGCTTCTTTACTATTCCCAGGAGAAATATCTCTGGTGTTAGTTCAATATCTTTGCCAATTATTTCATATAACCACTTCCTGATCTTATTCCAATATCCTTTCGCTTCCGGGCATGTCCACCACATGTGAAAGAAGGTGCCTTGACCGTGGCCACATTTCCAACAATTGGGATGTATATTAGGATATATCTTTGCTAGTCTGGCCGGGGCTAAATACCATCTATGGAGCATTTTGTAATGGTTTTCCTTGTAAGCCACCACTCTAGTCAGTTTAAGATTCCTGTTCCATGCCTCCTCCCATTCTCCAAAGTTTATATCACGCCCTATATTTTTCTCCCATGCATTTATTTGATTCTTTGTGATATCTTCGGACTTCTCATCACCTAATAAATAATTGTATAGTTTGGCCAGAATCTTTTTATTTGTTCCCATCAGGACTTTATCCAGTCCATTTGGTCCAAGTTCTAAACCGTATTGTTCTTTGTCTTTCTGATATCTATATTTTATTTGCGAATAGGTCCACAGATCTAAGATTATTCCTTGCTCTTGTAAGGTATCATTTGGTTTAAGCTTCCCTCCTTCGTCTAAGATATCTTTATATCTGCCCATTTTCTCCATCCCCCATTTTTCTGCAGTTCTAATTATCCTCTGAAGTCTGTGTCTGTCTTGGTTTGCAGAAAGGAGTGTAAAGGAGGGGGAGGGAGGGAGGGAGGATGAGAAATTTTATTTTCTCCCAGTGGCTGTTAATGTTATTTTTACCCTGGCATGTACCTCCAATAAAAGTGGAGAAAAAGCTCACATATATCAAAAACGGTATTCCAATCAACCAATTTGGGGAAACATCATTCAACTGTGTCAGCTGAGTAAAATGGCTCTCGGATAATGAGAAAAATAAGGAAAGGAGAAAAACATTTCTCCTATCTCTTCTTCTGCCTGTGTTAATTCTTTTTATTTATCTAAGCCATTGGAAGGTTTGGAAAAGATTGGTAATGGAATAACACTTCCAATATAATCTGTTATTAAAAAGAAAAATAGGTATAGTGAAATGGTAAGCATCCTTACTTGAAAACTAAGAAAACTAATTCACGCTGTGCTAATCCAATATACATTTGGGGTTGTTTATTATTATTATTATTATTATTATTATTATTATTATTATTATTATTATTATTATTATTATTATTATTTCTGGTTAATCTTTAGTGAGATTCACAGCCTTTGAGGCTGGTTAATAACTCAGCAGCTCGAGTCCTAACCAAGGACCTAGGAACTGTTAAGGTATCGTCGGAGGATGTAAGCTGTTCTGAGTAAGGTGGTTTTTTGTACAGTCAAAATGTACAAGTCCGGTAAATTTAGAATTTCTAAATAGCGGGGTAGCCCTTTGGGTATTGCTCCAAGGGCTCCAATTACAATTGGGACAACACACAATTTCTTTTTCCACAGTCGCTCAACTTCAATTTGCAAGTCCCGGTACTTTGTGATTTTTTCTTGCTGCTTATCTTCAATCCGTGCATCACCAGGTATTGCAATGTCAATGAACCATACTTTTTTTCTTTTCAACTATTGTTATGTCAAGTGTGTTGTTGTTGTTGTTGTTGTTGTTGTTGTTATTATTATTTTGATATATGTATCGGTCCAACTCAAACATAAACTCTGGTCAGCTTGCAGCAGTGGGAAAAATAAATATATAACAAACAAAAACTATATTTTAAAAAAACAGCCACAGGTTGCCTTCAGCCTAGAATTTCTAAACATAAGCAAGGTAGTTATTGACTCTTACCTTTTGTGCCATTGTTTTAAGTGAATTACTGCAGTTGTTCTAAGTGAACCTGGCTTCCCCCCCTTGACTTTTGTGGGCCCCACCCCCAGGAAGTTTGCAAATAATGATCATATGACCCAGGTCCCCACACTATAAAAAAGATGTTGAGACTCTAGAAAAAGTGTAGAGAAGAGCAACCAAGATGATTCGGGGACTGGTGGCTAAAACATACAATGAACGCTTGCTGGAACTGGGCCTGGCTAGTCCATTGAACAGAAGGATTAGGGGAGATATGATAGAACTCTTCCAATATCTCAGGGGCTGCCACAAAGAAGAGGGGGTCAATCTATTCTCCAAAGCACCAGAGGGCAGGACAAGAAGCAACGGGTGGAAACTAATCAAGGAGAGAAGCAACTTAGAACTAAGGAGAAATTTCATGACAGTGAGAACAATTAATCAGTGGAACAACTTGCCTCCAGAAGTTGTGAATGCTCCAACACTGGAAGTTTTAAAGAAGATGTTGGATAGCCATTTGTCTGAAGTGATGTAGGGTTTCAGTGGAACTACTGGGGGTTGGACTAGAAGACCTCTAAGGTCCCTTCCAACTGTTATTCTATTCTATTCTATTCTATTCTATTCTATTCTATTCTATTCTATTCTATTCTATTCTATTCTAGGCTTTTAAGAAGAGATTGGACACCCACCTCTCTGAAATGGTATAGTGTCTCCTGCCTGAGCAGAGAATAGGACTAGAAGACCTCCAAGGTCCCTTCCAACTGATATTCTCTGTTTCATGTTCTAAACATAGATGCCTCATTCAAGTACATGCAAACTCAGTCATTGATTGCACTCAGTGGCTGCTTCCGCCAAAGCATTCAGAAAAT